GCGGCCACCCTCGATCTCGACCGTCACATTCTTGCACTCGGCAGTGATCACTTCTTGATCGTAATAGCCTTTGAACGTCACACCACACCCAAGCACCTTCGACTCGATATAGTCCTCGCGCGTGTCAAAGCTCACATTCCCAAAAGCCTTATTCAACCCATCTTCCTTGTGAAGGGCAATAACGGATTTTCCCGACCATTCGAGAGTCGTGCACCGGAGCCATACGCTTAGATCTCCGAACGAGTCATCGTAGTAAATATTCTCGACCGAAAACCCTAATTCCCATCGGACAGTGGCCCCTGTGCTGTCGTGGTTTGTCGTGTTGGGTACGGAAAACGAAAGGGACTCTATTATGAAAGTCGGGAAGATAGGGTTCATGATGGCTATAAAGCCCATAATTATGCCTACTATAGGAGGTGCAAGAACCGCTACCAAGAAGACACGGGCTGCTAAGTCGGCCAAGGAACATGATTCCTCGTCGGAATTAGGCGGGAGTTCGGCGGCGTCGGTGGCCATTTGGGCAGGTGTGTATTAACTTCTACTTGCAATTAGCCATATTGTTTTTGGGTGGAAAGTATTTTTTGTGTGTATATATATTTATATAGTTTTGATATGGAATCAACATTTGTGCTTCATAATAATGTTAATTTTTTATATATAACAAGTAAATCATATCATATCTTCTGATTACTTAAAAAAAAGTACTAATGATTTTATTAATATGATATGATTTATATAGAACCAACTTTCTATATACAAAAATAAATCATACCATATTTCTTGATTACTTAAATAAATAGTAAATTTTATTAATATGATGGATGTGATTTACTTGTTGTATATAGAACCAACTTTCTATATACTTTTATAAACTATTTTTTTTGTACGCAGAAAACATATTGTCGACATATAAATTAATCGTGTTGTGTTATGAAATATTTTTATTTATTTATTTATTTTATTTTTTTTTATTTTTTTTTTGCTGTGCTTACCATATTATTTTTTTTTCAATTTTCGT